GGGCAGCCGGGCGGAGTGGCTGGATTATGTAAGTAGCAGCCCTCCATGTGCTCACCACCATCTGTTAATATCTTGGTATTGGAAAGTTCGGTGCCTGAGGCAAAGCCAGGGTTGGCGGCGAAGAGCTCCCAGCCTACACTTTTCTACTCCAGGGCAGGGAATGTACTTCCCTTTGATTGTTTTCGCCCACTTTCATAAAATCAAGTAGTAGTGTGTCCCTTCAATCACTGACAACCCCCTCATCCCCGCGGGTGTGTCTTTGTGGGCGAAGAGTGATTTTCTTCGAGGCCAACTTATTGTAATGAGCCCTTTCGATGAATTTATATTTTCATGACAATTCTGCACTCCTTAAAGCAATGTGGCAGACTCTTTATTTGGGAGTGGGTTCTTTCGCATTTTAAAAATTTACTTTCCTTCTGCCAGCACCCCTGGAACCAAATTCTTGTAAGGGTTATATTTCAACTTCTTTGGAGTGATTGGCTTCTGTTTACTTTGAAAGCTGTTGGTTAAACAAACATCACTCGGGAGGCTTCTAAGCAGTGGGGTTCCCAGGAGAGAAAACGCTGCAGCTGCTACTTGCTACTGATCTTGTGGTATTTCACTTCCCCCCCATTCAGAACAAATCCAGGTTGGGCTTGGCGTCACACTGGGCACAGGAGATGAGAGTGAGAGAGAGGCCGTCAGTCAGTTTTGCCTCTGGAAAGCTTGCAGCAGGCAGGCCTGCACCCTGGGGTTGGTTTTCCTCTCTTCCCTTCTTCAGGGTTGGGATAGTGGTGGTGGTGCTGGTGGTGGTGGTGGGTGGGTGGGTGACCGGGAAGTCCTTAGGCATCCTTCTCCAAAATCCACGTCCACGTTTGCCTCTCAACTGAATCTGGTTGAAATTCCCAGAATTGGTTTGTTTAGGATCTGATAACTGCTGTTTGTAAGGTTTTAAATTACTTATACACACTGTCTTCCCTCCTGCCCCCACCTAACGGCTTTAAGAAAGAATAGGAGGCGTGAGCATACACCGAGGAAATGTCAAGGCGAAGTGTATTCAACACAGAACCAGATGCACGAGTGATAACTGCGAGTTTGTCTAAGAACACACAGATCACCCTTCAGATAAACAAGTAAATGCAACCTGCACGGATAGGGTTTGTTACAAGACCGGTCAGAACTTGCGTTAACTTTTAAGTTACTGGGGTTGTGTTGGAAATGGGGCGAAGGGAGGAGTTGTCTTAAGCCTAGGCTTGGCAGCTGGTTTCAGAGATGGAGCCAATATCTAGGCGACTTCTCATCTCCAGGCTTTTCCCCTATCAGAAAACAAAGCGGTAGTTGCCCGAGATAGGGGGCTCGGGCCTCAAGTCTTGCTCCAGGGCAGCCCGAGACCCAGGACAGTGCCGCAGCTCTAGCAAGAGAGGTTGTCAGGAGTGTGGCCTGTACGCCTCCCCGAAAGTAGAGGACAGGACAGGGGACAGGGCTGCGCGGAGGCAGCTCACGGAGCTGGGCTGCGAACCGATCTCCCTCGCCTAGAGTCGCGCGCGCTCCTATTTCAACTCGCCGCTCCTGCGCCCTAATGCGGGCTGCGAACCGCCGCGGCAGAGCTTCACCAGCCGGGAGCCTCCGCCGCCGAGGCTGGGGGTGGGAAAGCTTCCTTGTTCGCCAAGCGGGTTACCCCGACTTCGACTCAGGCCTGCCTTTCCCCACGGCGTGACACAGGACTTACTGGGGTTCTCAGGGAACTTTTCCCGCCGCCAGTTCCCGGGCGTGGTGTGTGCAAAACGTGCATTCAAGCGCTATGTGCAATTGACACAAACTTGTGGGCTAAAGTACAAGCCATTTCTTTTGCGTTTGAATCTTTTTCTCTGTCCCTGCCTCCTTTCTTCCCCCTACTCCCCCCTCCTCCTTCTGTGCTCTCCGCCCTTTTAAATGTCAAACTGAGCAGATGGTTTTAAGGTGTGGAAAGGTATATAGCCCTTACTCCTACCAGTTTATTTGTGGGCTGGCGCTAGCTTATATGTACAAACCAAGATTCTTAAAGAAAACCAGTAGGACGAAAAATAAGAAAGGAAGTAGCTTTGATCCATTTTCAGACCCCAAATTTCCCCGCTCAATACACCCGCTTACCTCGAAGGGACCCAACCAATAGAAGCATTATTCCGTCCTGTGTCTAATGGGCATGTTGGTTATTTCTGCTCCCAGACTAAACTGTCACATCCCGGTTAGAACACTTGATACAACAGTCAATAGTTGGAGGTGTGAGTGGTGTGTATGCGCTCCTCTGTGTTGTTTCCCTGATAGACGCGTGGGGGGAGTCTGTGGGGCGGCAAAAGGGGAAAGAAGGCGGCTGGGGATGCTCCCGCAATCTCTTTTCTTATCGCGGACACCTAACCTGACCGACCTGATTTTTTTTTCTTCTCTTCTTTTCACTGTTTGAAATTCGTGCCAAAAGTTTCCTGCCGGGATAGACTCGGATATACTAACATCGCTATTCTTATTCCAAGGGAGGGCTTAATATCCTCTTTACGGTTTGGTGAATTTGAGGCTGAAATTTTAAATTTCCTAGAAAGGAGTATGTGTGTGTGTGTGTGTGTGTATGTGTGTGTCGCAGAAGACATTGGTAGTGTTTGGCCAGTGTACTTGTAACACACCTCATAAATACCCTGTTGTCACGACACAGCATGATTCAACCTTTGATCTAATTAAATTTGAGGGACACACGAAAACTACTTGTCCTCCTCGTACCTACAAAAATGAGTGTCTAATAGACTGTGTATGAATGTTTCTGCTTCGCAGCTTTTGCAAGTCCCAGCTTTTATAAGATCTTTAGGTCATAAACGCGGCTGCTTTATTAAAAGCCGTTTACTGTGCCCGGTGAAAGGGACGTTCTAGCTGCGGCTGGAGGCTCGCTTGCATTTGTAACTTGCAAAGCCTAAGGAGATCTTTAAGAGCCACATTATCTAAATAAATTTTGCTGGTTATTTTTCAAGCAAGAAATGTCAAACCGAAGTAAATTTCCTAGGGCTTTATGTTAGAGCCCGAGATTAAAGCGTTTGAAATTTCTTGCCTAATAAACTTTAAAGTTTGTTGCCCAGGCGTCAAAACTGTGTAAATCCTGTATTGAACAGCTTTCTTTGGTCTTTGTGGGGTGAGTGAATTAGTGAAGGGTATTCGCCAGATGTTTGCAACATACATATTTTTAAAGGCTGCTTTACCTACAATCCAAATAATGTCAGAGGTAACCAAGGGTAAATATTTCTCTTCCTAATAATTTGGACTGGAGCTTAACTGGGACTCAGCCAATGTTGATCTTCGTCTAATAACAGATGCAGCGGACCCGATGTGAAACCTCTGGCACCTATTATTTTAATACCAAACCTACCTGTATTTTATTGTCCACCTCCCCTTTAAAAGGAACCAAGGGTGACACGTATCCTTGACACTACCTATGATCGTTTAAGAAGTGGAATGATTTGCAGATCTCCCCCCCACTCCCTCCTCCTATGCCACCCCCACCCCTAAAACCCCCACTTTTTCTCCCGTATACTTTTCCGTGCCTTCCTCCACCCAAGTCGGAGGAGCGCTCACTCGCTCGGCCACTCGGCGAACTCGATCAGCTGTATCTGGGAAATGAAAAAAGAAAAAGAAAAAGAAAAAAAAAAAAAAAGGACCTGCGTCCTGGAAGAGCGAGTGTGAGCTGGGCGCCGCTCGCGCCGTCTCCCGCTTTGCATAGAGCCCG